CAGATTCAATCATTTTAGTAGCTTCAAATCATCGATTAAGATAGACAGGCATTGAAATTTGTTTATTCAAGGCACACTCCATACATTGTAGATGTAAGGCGCACCTCTAAATTTTACCTAGCGATCTAGTTATTGTGTTAGAAATCTTATGATGGCTTGAAAATATATTATCATCTCCCTTGTTATGAAATTTAAAATTTAAAAAACAATACAGAACAAGCATATCTATACACATTTGAAAATATAGAAAATAGATGGTTTAGATGATTTGTTATATAAATGTATTAGTTTTAAGACTTGAAATTCATTTTTTCTTCATATACATATATCTCGAGATTGAGAAGATCAATAAGAAGGTTTTCCAATGTCAAAAAACTATCTTCTAGAGGATTTTTGAGGTGCACTTTATTCAATCGTAGAGTATGTCAACCTCATATAATTTTTCCCATTATACATTGCATGTCAGGGAAGTTTAAGGGGGTGGTTTGCATAAGAGGCAACATTAAATAATCAAATTAAGGTGCATCTCCAAACTTTGTCATAAGATGCAATTTTGATGTCAAAAATTCCTAGGATGGTATGAAACTTTATTTATTTATTTCTTTGACAAGATCATGAACTTTTATTGATAATATTAAAAAGAAACATTACAAATACAACATAAGAGAATCACTAATTACAAAGTGAGAACTGTCATCTCCAATTTTTGCTAAGTAATAAGCAACATGATTTCCCTCCCTGTAAACGTGATGGAAATCAACATGTAAACCAAAAAGCAAGTCTGTGATTTCCATCAAAAGAGATCTGAGTGACGAAGGAGGATTCCAATTCCTCTTGCACCAGTTAGTCACAGTGAGAGAATCCCCTTCCACAATACACCACACACCTTCAAATCTCTCCTTCAAAACTTTTAAACCACACAACACTGCAGAAATTTCGACGTTTTTGGTTGTATAATGACCACATGGACCAAAAAAGCAACACAAAACAGTGTTACCAGAATATCGAAAAACACCTCCAACACCAGCAAGCCTCTAAAAGAGCTACTATCAAAGTTTAATTCGATACAACCATTGGCTGGTGGGATCCATCTTTCTACTTGTGAAGCATCTCTTGACGACTGCCACATTAGATTCGCGAAATTCACCACTACATCCACCTTTGATACACCATTACCTTCTTTTGTTACTTAAAACCACGAGCACATAGTGTGCAAGATTTTAACTTTAACATGCCGAATATCTGTTATCCTACCTTCAAAGGTCTTCCTATTATGCGAGACTCTATTTTTATCTGTAACTGTAAATGTTAAACTCTAAAAATGGTTCTGATCAAGCAAATCTGTAAAACACATGAAAATCTTGAAAATGGATGGTCCTGATAATATGTTGTAAGATGTACTATTTTCAAACTTGAAATCTCTTTTATTCTCTATATCTATACGTCTCGATGTCGAGATGATCAATTAGATATTTTTCCAACAACAAAATAATATTTTTCAATGCATTTTTGAGGTGCGCCTTAGTTCTACATTTGAAAGTATCAACCTTATATAAAATTTTTCCTCATTTAAAAGCGCCCTGAAATGCAACTAGTTTTAGAGCAAGAAGAATTTGTTTTTGCCTTGGTTCACAATTTATAGCAAACAATGGTCTATCGAGACTTGCTAAGATTATCAGATGGAAAAATTTTATATAGAGCCGAGGCTCTAAACAATTAAATTAGAGCCCCTCACTAGAAGATGTTGTTTTGATGCCCAAATATCTTCAAATTGATCATCTCGACATCAAGATGCATGGACATGAGAAAAAAATAGATTTCAAGTTTTGAAAATAGTAGACCTTGTAACGCATTTTGGAACGTCAATTTGCAACATTTTCAACTATTCATGGATCTACGCGATATACACTATTTTTAAAGCTTTAAATTGTATAATTAAAGATGAAAATATATTTTAAGGCTATGACAAAGATTTCCAATATAAAAACCACATTTCTCGACACAATTTGGAGGTGGGCTCTAATTTGATTATTTAAAGCCTCGGCTCTATACAAACCTCACCCTTAACAGATATACTGGTGCTATGGAGTTTTGAATTTTATTTTTTATTTTTTCAGAAATTGATAACTGTGAAAATGAAGGGTAAGATGGTATATTGAGGCATTCGTGTCCCACCCCCTCCCCAGCGATGCCCCAACCCCATTCCTAAGAATTTCTAGGTTTATTTTATTTATTTATGGATAGATTAGTGGTAAAGGGGTCTTCTACTCATAGTTAGAATGGAACTCAAGACATCATTGTTATGACACCCTTCACCTTAATTCTAATCTCAAATTTTTTTGAATTGTGAAATTAAATTATATTTTAGTTTCTTTTATGCATCATTTAGGAATAACCGAATAAGGAAGTATTTACAAAGAGACCGTTTATCTTTTGTACATAGAGGTCACAATCATTTCTGTCCCTTAAATTTCAAAATTGATAGTTGTAAGAGTACCACTGAACCGACACAACGTTTCAAAGAACAAAAATGATGTGACCTCCATGTACAAAAAATAAAGACAAATTGTCTCTTTGTAGACAATCCTTTTCTTAAATATCAATTTCCTTACGCTTGGAGACCATTTTTGCTACTTTAAAAATGGGACTTAATGGTTATAAACTCCTATGAACACTAAAGCTCATGATTACAGCGGCTCCCAGCCCATGAGTTTTCGGGTTGGGATTGAGCCCCGATGTTAAGCCCGAGGACTAAACTCGTGTCTAGCTCTACATAAATATTCCAAGCCAAGATTTGAGAAAACTCGAGCTAATCATGGTGCAGGGCGAACCCTACCCGAGTTATAGCCCCATATAATCAGGGTCGATAATTAGCCCTGGCCGATTGCAGGGCATTCGGTGGGCCTGGCTTTAGGCCCACAACTGTGAGGCTATTAACTCAACGTCGGGCCAGCCTGTATATATCTATTTTCGGCCTAGGACGGGCCCAGGACTCTATGAAATTTTGTTAGGGTTAGGATCCTGTTCTTGATAAAAAAACGTGATTGAAAAGTGAAGTATTCAATTTAAAAAACTCATATTCCATTAAAAATTTAAGCTAATCCACTTACCAAAATGTTTGTTCGGCATAAAAGATTTCAAGGGAAAATTACCATGCACATCATGTATATGTTATTGCATATGCATAAGCATGGATTCTATCGCATAAGCAAACAGCATGAACCCTCGGATGCTAGTTTTCAACTAGTGACAACTTAGATGATCCATGCCTACTTTTGTGCGGGATTAAGGGTTTGTGTCCGTCGCCGTTGAGAATGGATGGTTGATTCCATTATATGGATTCTGGCGTAACATGTGTATGGTAGTACGGTAGTGTACGCCCAAGATGGGCTAGTCAGCCCAGCGATGGCCCTCAAAACTAGTGCTTGGGCCACAAAAATGTGGCCCAACAGGGCCAAACATGACTTGGATGAGGGCCATCCCAGTTTGGCCATCCTGCGTTTTTCTCTTTTTTTTAGTTGATTAGTTTATTTTTTTTATTTTTTTATATCCATAGATCTCATGGTCAATATGATCAAGTAGAAAGTTTTTTAAATTTAGTTTTTTAAATTTGTGACATGCTTCTTTTATTGGATTTTTTAACTCCACCTTACTTCTATAATATAAGGGTGCAACCTTATATAAACTTTTCCTATTGATAACTTCCCTAGATATTTTCATGTGGAAAATTGTTTCATGTGGGCTGGACCGTACGACTACATACACGGTCCAAAAATTGTAAAGCATCAATCTTTAAGATGGCTGCAAGTAGGTGTTCCATCTAAAAACAATGGAAACTAACGGTCCAAATTTTTTTTACTAGAATTATTATTTATAATTTTAAAATTTTTTTTACTAGTCATGGGCTAGACCGCATGTCTACATACACGGTTAAAAAACTGTAAAGCATCAATCTTTAAGATGGATGCAAGTAGGTGTTCCATCTAAAAATAATAGAAACTAACAATCCAAATTTTTTTTTACTAGAATTATTATTTATAGTTTTTAAAATTTATTTATATTTTAATATTCATGGTCTCCATGTTAAAATGACATGTCTTTAAAAATTAAGTCAAAAAATCCATCTCAAAATTAGATTTATTAATAGGCTCGCATTCCTACATGTGGGGGCTTGGCTGGATAGAAACCGGGTCCTATTCGTATTCCCTTAATATAATGGCTAGGGTAGTGTTGTCATTACGGCGAACTTTGGTTGTATGGGCTTCTAAAAGATCCGAAGAAACAGGATAGGAAAAGGACATAGATGATAGTGGGACCGCCCAACGCAATATTCAACAATAATGCCAACCCATTCAACGCATCGTCGGTTTCCAATTTACTATCACACTGTAACATGATCGAACGTAACTCTTTTTTTTTTTTTTTGTTTAAAGATATTATTAATCATCAAACGTAACTCTTTTTTTTTTTTTAAAGATATTATTAATCATCAAACGTAACTCTCTCTCTCTTCGTTACTTTCTCAGGTAAAATTGATTTATCATGTTAAGTTCATCTGGAACTTTCTCACTCCTCCCCCAATCGCTCTTATTATATATGACTAATGCATGATATGACACTGTAACCTCATCCAAATACTATCACTCCTCCACCTCTCTCTATCTCTCTCTTGTATGTAAAGTATATATAACACCACACTCAAACCTCAGCCAAATCCCCTCTCTCTGCACCAGTTTCTCCCTCTCTCTCTGTCTCTCTAAGCCAATTCCCCAGTACCAAGAGAACAAGTTCTGAAACTCATTGCACCATGGATCTCGAAATCGGACTCTCGAACACTAACAATTTGATGAGCAGCTGGAGCTCGCTGAGATCGATAGCTATGCTGGCATACCAAAGCGTAGGGGTTGTGTATGGAGACATGAGCATTTCTCCATTGTATGTGTACAGCAGCAGCTTATCGAGGTTGCGAGGTGGGGTGGACATGGAAGAAGAAGAGATTTTGGGGATGCTAAGCTTCATTCTTTGGACTTTCTCTCTCATCCCCCTCCTCAAGTATGTCTTCTTTGTGCTCAATGCAGACGACGAAGGCGAAGGTCAGAGAAAACTTAATCTTAGCAGGGGTAGAATGGATAAGGATATGTTCATAAATAAGATTATCCTAAACACAATTACTCAATCCATAGTGTTCCACACACCACTAGTGTATTGTAAATAGTACTACGTACGATATAGATACTTGATGGATAGTGTTCCATACACCACTCGTGTATGGTAAATAGAGAAACCTATGATATAGACTGTCGATTTACGGTGATGGTAGGTGTAGATTAGCACCCCTGGGTGAATGTGGCCACTGGAGATTGTGAATAATCTTCACCTTTCTCAATGGGACTGGAGGTTGATATCCCCATGGTGTACCATGTGATGTTTAAAACCGGTGCATGGTACACTCTAGGAAACCAAAGAAAAAGAAAAAGAAAAAGTGGGTATAGTGCTTTTTGAGTGATCTTCAAACCCGTCCAAATGCGGTAGGTGGACCCACAATTTTTGGGTAGGGGTCGTAGGACACCACCTTCTCTAGATTGGGAGAACCTACCCTACGCAAACAAAACAAGAAAGAAGAGAGAGAAATATACTTGGGAATAGGAAATTTTTTTTTTATAATATTTTACCATTTAGCAAAAAAACATTACACGGGAATAGGTTCAAAGCTCTTTTGTGAGTTTACACTTGTATCAGGCTTGTTTGGATGACGATGTTTTTTGAAGGCAGACAAGAGGCATCTTGAAAAGATATTTGGTCTCGAGAGTTTATTTATTGGGATTGTATGTTATGGTATTTTTTATTTTTGGTAAAAAAAATTATAATTATTTTTAGCTATTAGAAATAAAATTTATAGATAGAAGTGTTTCACAATAAGTTTTATTGGACCTTATGCCTAAACAATGATATGTACTCAACAACCCAAATTCAAATTTAGCTGTCAATGATGATTATAACATCCTTATATCAAAAACTAAAAAAACTCATTGTATATTTTTTCTTATTTATTTGCTGGGTGTGTGCATTCCAAACCTATCTAGGACCGCGCCTAGATATCTTAGACTTGTCTTTGTAATTCAAAGGTAGGCCTTCCCGAAAATCTGTTTAGAGGGCGGACGAGCCACCATAGTCGAAGGGCCAGGTCTAGTCTAGGGCCACAGTAGGATTGACCTAGCCACCCCAGCCATGTGTTTTTCTCCCTTTAAATCTATTAGGCCCGTCTTGGATTGGGCCTACGCCTGGGCCCCTTCAGCCGTCTAGGGCCGCTTTGCCTAGGTCTAGGCCCAAGCCAATTCTATGGACAAAGGGGTGTGCTCAGGTCAGCCCAGACGATACCCGTTGCCAACTTCAATAGTAATAACTAGGGAAAATTCATTAAAATTCAATAGTAATAACTACGACATCTCTTCATTTAATTTCACCCAAAAAAATAAATGGCCTCACGCAATATGTCCACAATTATTAGGCTGGTTTAACTTTGAAACTTGAAACCAAGGATTTCAAGGCTCTCTCTAAGGCATCCACATGCTTCCTCCCATGTATTTCAAAATTCACCAGGCATCCAAATGCTTCCTTCCATGTATTTCAAAATTCGCAATAAAAAGAGTTAATTTTCCCTAACATGGCATATATTATACAACCCATGTAACATTCAAAGTAGAGAAATGAGCCCTTCTCTTATTGTTTGTAGGGGGGCTCTTTGCTTTGTATTCTTTGCTATGCAAGAATGCAAATTTAAGGGTACCCAAGGACTCAGTTAAGCCCCATTTTAGGGGTGGAGTGGACAAAAGCTTCTTTGAGAGACATGCTTGGGCAAGAGTAAGTGTCTTACTAATTGTCATGCTTGGCACTGGAATGGTGATCGTTGATGGAGTACTCACACCAGCTATATCTGGTATGTATTTTTATGGTTTTCGCCTTCCCCTTCTTAGATGGTTTTTTACATCAAATAATGTTTATTTTGCTTGTGTTAAAGAATTTTTTCAAATAGTTAGGTGTGGGAATATTTTTATACTAATTAGTTGCAATGCATCTTTTCGCAGTTAATAGGTGTAAAAATATCCATACCAAACCATATGAAATAATGTTTTTTATGGGGAAATATATTCACGCCAACCAAAGATATGGCATTATAATTTTTCATCATATAAATTGTTTATGTCATTTTCGGTTGACAAAAAAAAAATGGCTACATAGTTACCCAAAAAAAAAAAAAGCCTATAGTTTACATCATGCAATTAGTCTAGAATGTTTGACGGGTGAGGTCCACCTGTAGTCTCTTTTTTTTTGTTATGTATTATCATATGCACACTAGATGTGGGCATGTGTATTGCATAAGGTAGCATATTTAAATTGTAGAAAATGTACAATGACCATAGAATAAGTAAAGCAATGCCCTTCTTTCTACCTAACAAAGAGTTAAAAATGCTATAAAATGGCATCTGCATTTATTTGGAAACCAACTTTTTGATATGTATTTTCACCCTCATGGTCACCCATGATAGGTTTTTTTTTTTTTTTTTTGGGTAATTTGGTGGGGAAAAGATATGTATTTTCACCCTCATGGTCACCCATGATAGGTTTTTTTTTTTTCTTTTGGGTAATTTGGTGGGGAAAAGATATGTATTTTCACCCTCATAGTCACCCATGATAGGTTTTTTTTTTGTTTTTTTGGGTAATTTGGTGGGGAAAATAGTCCCCTATCCGTTTTTTTAAAATAGATTAGGGAGTTAGCTTTTTTATGATAGGCACTTGTTGAAAGGCCGCAATAGTTCGAGGAATGGTGGGATTATAAATAGCAAAATTTGTGGGTAAGACCTCTTGTCCTAGCTTTTTTTCCATGAACTTTTCTGCTCCTATTTGTTATCGATACCACAATTATCAATACCGGATTGACTGGCTATTTGGATTGCCGATCAATGCTTTGGTCGGTTTGGTTTAAAATAAAATCAAGCTTCATAAATTTTTTTTTAAAATCAACACTTGACTGGTATGGTAGGTTCGACTGGCCAATTTTGAGCAATTCAACCAGGCAAACAACACTGGACAAGTTTTAAATGTATTATATATTTTAAACCATTATTTATATTTTTTATATATTTTAAAAATATAATCTAACCTGTTCAACTTGTAGTTAGATCAGTTTTGAGTAGACCGATAACATTACACTCCCCTTTCTCACCAACGTTGCTAGGATTTGAAGTCAACCACATTAGTGTATCCATTAAATATGTTGAGGACCCGACCAATGTAAATTCCCTTCAAGTAAACCTTTTCGCATCGAATGAAAGAATCCCATTTTTTAAAACTAAAAATATTCTCAAAAGGCATAATTTGATCTTCCAAAATAGCAATGAATCTTTGACATTAGTTTTTTGGTGCAATCATTCCATAGCATTGATATAAATTTTTATCTACAAGTTTGTGAATGATGCCTTGCTTCTATGAATGAATTAGAGCAATAGATTGTTGAAATTTTTCGTATAATTGTTGATCGTTTCAAATTAGTCTGTTTTCTTTTTTTTGTCCTAAATATGCCCTTTCCATCAACTAATCCTAGTGTACTTACTCCAAACGGTTCCTTTAAAAAGAACAATCTAGTTTTAATCTAAATACAATAGACAAAAGGAAAAGTATACGACATAGATTAGTTATTTTTGGTGGAAGAGGGTGACAATCATTATTAAATGGTATGTGTGAAATTAAGTGATTGAGGGGTACTATTTGTTGGACACAAAATTCAAAATAAAATTTATAGAGCTTTGTGACACACTCCAATCATAGTTTACCTTTATGAATAAAGTGATTGGGACCTCCTTAAAGTGATTGACCTTATAGAGTATTCAAAAAATCGAATCGGCCAGTTCAACCGGCTTAATCTAGCAAGTCGTAGACGGTTAAAAAATTGTTAAAAAATACAAGAAAATCTAAAAAATATGAGAAGTATATTTAAAGCACGATTAAACAAAACACATAAAAAAGAAGTTGAAAATTACTAAAAAAATTAGATTTTAAAAAATCGTTTTCTGCTTGGGGGTATGTGTTTTTTAATTTTTTTTAAAAAAGAAGGAGAAAATGTAAAAATAAATATTCATTGCCAAAACACTTTCCAATCTTTGCCAAAATAAATGTAGTATAAACAAATCCCTTATTTTTGGGATTTTATTTAAATGTTTTGAATTTTTTTTTAAATAACCAGCCCAATCACCAAAACTGATCAAAACGAAACCGGCCAGTACCGTTCCAATCTAACCAACCGGTTCCGAGTTGAACTGGCTGAGCTTGCGAACACTGCCTTATAATATAACATCCCTAAAAGCATTAATCTAAACCAACCGGTTCCGGGTTGAACTGGCTGAGTTTGCGAACACTTTCTTATAATGTACAATCCCTAAAAGCATTAATCTAAAAATAAAAAATGTGAAAATTAGTTGAGTCTTAGTCTAGGTTTGGAATTAATTTTCTGAAACTATTTCAAAAAATATATATTTTTGAACAAATAAACTATTTCAAAATATTCTTAGACATTTAGACTGGAGGGATATCGCAATTTGGCATTTAACTGAAAGGAATATAGTCATTCTTATGGTGTTTGATTTGCGCAGTGCTTTCAGCCGTATCAGGCATCAGAGTAAAGGCCAATCTACACGAGGGTAGGTCGTTCTCTTGGATATATAAACGTGGTTTTGTATTTTATTTTATATTTTGTTAAATTTTGTTTATCATTCACAAAGGGTATTTTTTAAGTAGAAGTATACGGAAACTTAGCTTTTTTTTTTATAATTAATATGAAATCACAATCATCTCTAGCAGTCAAATCTAAAAATGAATAATTGAGATTGTGCCACAAATTATGCTTAATATTTGATTTTTCTTTTTTTAATTTTACACTGAGAAATGACACATTTCTAACTACCCGATTTTATACTTAATAGCTAAGAGCTATCATGACTTTCTTGCACCAAAAGTAAACGATGTCATGGCCACAATCTTGTCTCTTGAAGAGACTCCCTATTCCGCATTGACATTTTACTTTTTTATCCAGAAAATATATATAAGAAGATTATTTTTTGGTACAAGGAAGTCCTATCATTCATGTCTATCAGATTTTAAATCAATTAGTTGTAAGAGTACCATTGATTAGACTCAAAAAAGAGTTTCTTAAACTTCATGCTACAACCAAGCCATCCAATTTGACATCTAATGGTTGGAAGTAATTGTGACCTCCTTATAACCAAAGTAAATAGTTTCCTAATATAAAATCCCTTCCCAGTACCTAACCCAAAAGTACTTATGGCACCCAAACCCATGGAAGAGAACCTTCCTTATTTTTGTGCTAGTTGGATCCAAACCCTGAACAATAATAAGTGATGACAATTTGAAATCCCAAACCAAGACTCAAACTTGATTGAAACATTGGAAATAGAAAGGGGTTAAAATTTTTCCATACTTTTTGAATTATAATTAGAACTGTTTTTTGTGGTTTTCAAAACATAACTAGAATTGGTGGTTTTCTCAGGCTTGGTGCTAGCCATAGCATGCTTGGTGTTAGTTGGCCTTTTTGCTCTCCAGCATTTTGGAACTCGAAAGGTTGCATTCATGTTCGCACCAGTGGTTATACTATGGCTTCTAAGCATTGGAGCAATTGGCCTTTACAATGTGGTTTCCTGGAACCCTAGGGTTCTTAGGGCTATCTCTCCTTGCTACATGTTCCATTTCCTTAGAATGACTGGCAAAGATGGCGTGGTTTCTCTTGGAGGCATACTTCTTTGTATATCAGGTATACCCTTCTCTCTTTGCTAATTTTAATTGAGATCTAGTCATCAGTTATGTTGTATTTGGATACCATTTAAAACTTTTTTTTTAACCTTTATCGCTCTCATATCACATCCTAACTTGTTTTTCAACTATTTGAGGTCCGTTACATAAAATCTTATTCCGTCATTCTGCTATATCAAGGGTCATATGCGGTCTTATTTATCATAATCGATTCGTTAACGTGCTGGTTAACTATATTCTAGATTCTCCCAAATTCTATGTTAATGAATATTTGTTAATGTTACATGGAATATCTGTTTGTTTCTAAAGTAAAGGATGTTTACGCAAAACACTAATGAGAACATCTTCTATCCAAAACCATGGATAAATGTTACCATACTCATATATTAACATCTGATTAAAGCAACCACAGTCAGGGAAAATGAAATCTTAGAAAATTTGCAAACATAGTATATAGTTTTGTTTGTATCTAAATGTTCTTGATGCTTTCAGGTGCCGAGGCCATGCATGCAGATTTAGGGCATTTTTCACGGTTTTCTATCAAAGTAAGGAGCATTTTTTATCGTTATAGGGCGGACCTTTTTTTTCGTTTTTAAATTTTGGGATTTGAGTGAGCTTTCCTTCTGATTTTCAATGCAGGTGGCCTTTCTGGGTTTGGTTTACCCATGTTTGGTTTTGGCTTACATGGGTGAAGCTGCATTTCTCACTAAGCACCCAGAATCCATTCATATGAGCTTTTACAACTCTATTCCTGGTAATGTCTCTCTCTCACACACTCATCTATGTGTGTGCACATACAAATGCTCTAAAAGAAAAACAAAAGTTTCGAAGCTCTTTCCCACTTGTCATACAAAGTCTTATTTTGTGGGATTGTATACTGTAAAACTGTTATTTTTTTACAAAAAGAACACAATCAACCCTTGCTGCTAGATGCAATTTGTTGCAAACCAACTTTATTTACCAGTTGTTGTCACCAAACTTTATGCAATTTCTTGGCAAACCCAACTGATCAACTGGTGTATAATTGCTAAAAGCTTAGGATATATCCAAATATCTAATTGCTCATGACATTTGGGAACTCGGATCCCCTGTGTTGCCATTGAGCATTTCATGAAAATTCAAAAGAACCTCAAAATATCAAACTTATACCATATTTTCTTAATATGATGTATCAAATACCATATACAAATGGCCATATGGATTCATCATGGCCAATGATGGATGGTGGGGATTTATCGAATACACATGACTGAATTTTTTTTTGAATGGTTACGTATTTCAAAAAGCACGGTATTTTGAAATACCACTTACCTCTCTGTTCTCTCTCCCTCCAACAATAAACTGGTGCATATCTCCGTTTACCATCATCAGTGGGCAGTAGATGACCCTTTGTGTATAATAAACCAGACACATACTATGTATAATGTATAACATACTTTTGCCATGCATTTTGTGTACTTTATATGAGAGGGCTTTTTGATTCGATGTAGAGAGTGTGTTTTGGCCGGCTTTCTTGACGGCGACCCTAGCCTCAGTAGTTGGATCACAAGCTGTGATTTCTGCCACCTTCTCAGTGGTGCAACAATGTGCAGCCCTTGACTGTTTCCCAAGGGTGAGGGTGGTTCACACATCAAAGCTCATCTACGGTCAGATTTACATCCCTGAGGTGAACTGGATCCTCATGCTCCTATGTCTTGCTGTCACTCTTGGCTTCCAAGACACTCTCTCTATAGGCCATGCATATGGTATAAATTAACTTTGAATCTTTTTCTTTAATCATGTTATTAAACTGGATTTTATTTTTAGGAGAAATATACAATAAGACCGTTTACATTTGGTATAAGAAGGTCACAACCACCCCTAACCATCAGATATGTATCAGGCGGTTCAGGTTGTCCATGGCTAGATCCACAATCGCCCTTAGCCATGGACAATGCTCAAAGTCTAAGAAAATATATCTCATATTTTGTATGGAGAAATGACACTCCCTTGGCTGTCTGATTTCTATGTGATGGTTATAGCTGATAAATTAGGTATATTTTAATATATTTCCCTTTTTAATAAATAAAATTATATCTTTCATTTGACTAATAGGAGTTTTTATATATCCAAATAGGCATATCAGTCATTAGCATCATGTTTATCACGACCTGCTTAATGGCAATTGTGATCAAGGCATCATGGAAGAAGCCATTTTGCGTAGCCATGGCCTTTCTCTTGTTCTTTGGATCGATTGAACTCCTCTACCTCTTTGCTTCACTCATGAAGGTTCCTCAAGGTGGCTGGTTCACTCTCCTTCTCTCCTCCATTTTCCTTGTACTAATGTACGTGTGGCACTATGGCAAATCGAAAAAATATGAATTCGACCTCCATAACAAGGTCCCAATGGAAACATTATTAGGCCTCGGGCCGAGCCTTGGCATAGTAAGAGTGCCTGGAATTGGCCTTATTTACACAGAGCTGCCTGATGATGTGCCCCCGATTTTCGCCCACTTCATGACCAACCTCCCTGCTTTTCATAAGGTCCTAGTTGTTGTTTGTCTAAGATCCATACATGTTCCGACTGTTCCCACTACTCAACGTTATTTGATTAGTAGGATAGGCACAAAAGACTATAAAATGTTCAGATGTATAGTAAGATATGGATACACAGACATAATCCTAGAGGATGAAGATTTTGAGAACCAACTGGTACTGAATATAGCCGAATTCATGTGGAAAGAGGCTGAGTTAGAGGAGGCGGCTTTAGTATGCGCATGTGCAGCGAGTGGGGATTCCACAGTAAAGATGGTGATGAGTGAGAGTAAAGAGTTAGGGGATGAGGATAATGGAGTAGAGATTTTGAGGAGGAGAAAGAGGAGGGTGAGGTTCGAGTTGCCTAAAGGGTGTGAGCCAGTTGATGCGATGGTGGAGAAGGAGCTCGTGGAGCTTTCGCAGGCTAAGGAGGTTGGGGTGGTGTATATTTTGGAGAATTCATGCATACAAGCAAAGAAGGATTCCAATTTGTTGAAGAAAATTGCAATCGACTTTGTTTATGCATTTTTGAGGAGGAATTGCAGAGCGCCTGCTTTCACTCTTAATGTTCCTTGTATGTCCCGTATAGAGGCTGGTACAGTGTATTATGTGTGATATAGTTTTATTTTGTGATGCTCAACTGTGTAATGGAGGCCTCCAAAGGAGGTCCACCTTCTTTTTGTTTCAAAATTTAGACTTTTAAGAAGTGATCTACTTAGATTGATTCATACCCATAATGCAAATATATGCCACTGTATATACATGATTTGTATATAACTGATCCTTAAAAGTGTATGGGGCCTTTTGCATTTGTGTATATCTAACTGTTACATGGTAACACATATTTTTGCCAAAGGGTATTCTATTCCCACGGGAGTAGAATGTTCATTTACTCCCATGGGTAATCCCCTCCTAGAATTAATTTTAAGAACTCAATTTTGGGGTTGTAACCTCTTCAACCTATAGATTAACCTAAATGAAAAAAAAATCCTATTTGTACTTTCTATGCACTTGAAAAAAATAATTCCTCGAGATTGGATAGGGACCATACAATTTTTAGATGGTGAGATCTAAGTGTTATAAAAACTTAAATTTGAATTTTTATTTTTTTAAGAATAATCATCTAGTAATTCTAAAGTGATTCCCACCCCCCCAAGCAGGTCGGACTAGAAGCAAATAGACTATGCTCCCGAGGGAGCATAGTATATGTGCCATGTATCTTTTGCAGTAATGCAGTGGGAATCTTTTGGAAAACACAAAACAATCAAGAGAACAATCGAGATGTCAACTTGTGACTTTTCTTTTTCTCTTTCCTTTGTATGTGAACATTCCTCTGTGATGCATGGGATCAACTGTAATGGCACTCATTTCTCTTTAGGGAGAGGAGGATAAAATTTTTGTGCTGGTAAGGGGAATGGATCAAATGATGGCAAATACACGATCCGTTTTATCGGAAATACATTCCTTCAACGATGATTCGCATGTGTTCGTTCCATTTTTCTTCACTTGGGTGGTGAAGGAAAACAAATGAAAACATTGAGCATGTACTGAAAGATAACGCAGCCAAGAAAGTAGAACTTGGTTGACAAGACTAATGATAGTCTAGGGCATGCTTGGATTGTTACCTCCAATAATTTATTGCTTCAATAAAATGAATCCTTCGATAAAATTAGTCATGGTGATGTTATATGCTGCTAGCTTCTATCATCTAATCAACTGAAATAAACTTATAGGTAATTTCACATATGAATATATGTTTTTGAAAAGTTGTTTATACTTTATTCTGTATAACTTTATCCTGTTTGCAACTATTTGTCTAGTGTAGAGAGCTAATAAAAAGAGCTCTAAATTTATAGGTAATTTCACGTATGAATTTAGTTTTTTGAAAAGTTGTTTTTACTTCATTTTGTATAACTTTATCCTGTTTGGCACTATTTGTTTAGTGTAGAGAGCTAATAAAAAGAGCTCTCCATCCAAACAATAACATAGGGTTGACAATGGGCCAGGGCTAGGCCTGGCCAGCTGTGGCTCGAGTCTAGCTTGGGTCCGCATAGGTTCTGCCATGGCCTGGCCAGGCTCACTAGAAAGGGCCTTGGCCCATTATATTCTCAAGAAAAAAGAAAGAAAAAATAAGGGGAAACACAAGATCGGGTTGGGCATTGGCCTTATTGGTCTGGTCTGGCTTGGGCATGTACCTTGGGCAACTCATGGTTTTAGGGCTAGACTAATCGAGCTCGGCTACACTCATTGCAAAGCCTAACAAGAACTAAACAACTTACACGTAATAAATGATATGTATCAAATAGCTAACAAAATAATATTATGAAGAACATATTAATTTTAGATAAAATAGTCTATTTTTGATAAAATGAATTGCCATCCAAATAGGCCCAATCCTTAGATTAATGTGGAGAGATGGGGCACGTCTCAAGCTTAATTCCTACTGCTCAAGTACCCAAAAAGCCAAAGGCAAATCAATTTATCTTCAAAATATGTTTAAGAGTTTTGTTGTTTCCTCAAACCTTTTAGTATATGGGTCTAATTTTTTTATTTTATGAAAGCATGTTGTCTGAAAGAAAGCAAATTGAAGTTCAAATTATCAAAACACCTGATCGTTTCCCCAATATGAAAACCATGTGCATCCACATAACATTTAGCGGTATATGAGCCATTACCGCATCCTGAAAGAATCTAGAGGCGCAAAGGCTACAGGAAACTGATCACAACAAGAGGTTCTCAGCGCACACTGATAACTGGTCATATTTCCAAGGCATAAATCAGCTTAGTTCCCCAAAAGTGTTGAAACTTAAAACCAAGGGCTAAGAAGGCTTACTTTAATGTTTTTATAGAAAAGATTAGCAGAATCAGCACAATCTAATCATGGCGTCCAGCACTAAAACAAAAGTGGATGCCTTGCAATTCAAACCGTTAATCCCCTCTCATGAAAAGTAAAGTGAACCCCCACCAAATTATTCTTTCCTCAATCTATAAAAGCCAGAGTTTACTGAGAACCTTAACACAAGATTAACATTTAGTACTTGTTTTCATTTGTCCATCTCCAATCCCCCACAAAAATTTCACTCAAAAGAAATGGGTGCTGAGGTATCCAGAAACCATGCCTTTGGACAAAACTCCTATCATGTTGCGTACCCAAAAAGACAGGACTCGAATCCTGTTGCCTTCCTTAAAAAACAGGGCCCCAAACCTGTTCTCACTTTCCACAAATCGTCCGAATGGAGGGCTTATTTTGAGACTACTAAGAGCTCTAAGAAACTGGTAATTTCCTCTAAGTAAACTAACTAAATTGTCATTGTGTTGGCTTGTGAGCCAATTCTCGGAGGCCGAGCTGTATATGTAGATTTTATGAAAATTTGCATAATGGATTATTCTATATGTATATATATATATTTATGTAATTGTCTATTTGCTTCATTATGAGTGATCTCACCCTTGGCTTTTGGATTTAAAACAGATAGTGATTGATTTTGGCGCAGCATGGTGCGGACCCTGTCGAGTCATGGAGCCCTTCTATAAGGAACTTGCTACCAAATTTCCTGATGTTGAGTTTGTGAAGCTTGATGTGGATGAACTTATGGTATGCCTAGATCTATTAATATTGTTATGCTTACTACTGCTTCCCATATTTAGGAATTGGGATTGGGCTTGAGTGGTTAGCAGTTAACGTCAAGCAATGCTACATCTCAAGCTCAATACTTACCATTGAACTACCCAAAAAATATAGTACTAATGATGATGATGATGATGATAATGACGGTAATAATAATAAAACCAACTTGAAGCTTCTAATTTATTTAAAAAAGGAGGGTTTTGAGGCTTTACTTTCATTGAAGTGTGGTTTGATTTGGCTTTGCAGGATGTTGCTGATGAATGGGAAATACAAGCAATGCCAACTTTTATTCTGGTTAAACAAGGAAGGGTGGTTGAGAAGGTGGTGGGTGCAAGGAAAGATGATCTTGCAATGAAGGTTGAGAAGTATAGGCTCTGAAAAATGTTACTCCTTCCCAATCTTGCTAGAGCCCTAATGCCTATGGTTAAGGGCCCTTTTTTGAATGCTGAGGGCTCCTACGTGACACAGAATAATGAGAGGGATGGTTGCATGGTTGAAGGTTTTCTTTACACTTGGGCTTAGCCATGTCAAATCAGTAGAGGCTTGTAGAATTTACTTCTTTGTAATAAAGTGGTGATACATGTCAAATTTAACCTTTTTTGACTTTTACCTTATGGCTTGAATGTGTCTTTAAAAATCTGTGACAAATATTTGGTCCCTTGTGTAATTTTTCGCTATTTTGCACAAATGGAAACAACAAAAAAGGAAAAAAGTCTAAAGAATATTGGCCTTTTGAGAGAGAGAGATAGAGAGGTCTTTTGGATGTTGAGCCTTTTATGTTTAAAGCGGCACTTTGGATGCCACTTTGTGAGCCAAACCTTCCGTCACGATGAGGAATCGTCAATCCGGAATGAATTTGGTGGGAGGGCAGTGCAAGTTCCTAACCCAAATCTCTTTTTTTTTTTAAATGTATTTATTGCATATAGAATTAAAGCTGGGAGGGCGAAATAGAGATATATAACTAGAATTTTATGTGATTGCTGCATACTAATGAAGCTGAAGAACAAGTTTTATAAGACAACCGTGAGACCAGTTTTGCTCTATGAGGCGGAATGTTGGGCGGTCAAAAAACTATGTACTCATAGAATGAGTGTAGCAGAGATGATGATTTTGAGATTGATGAGTGACAATAGAAGAAGAGATATAATTTAAAATGAATGCATTTGGAAAAATTAGGTAAGGATGTTGAGATTGATGAGTGATAAGACAATAAGTGAGAATTAAAAATGAATACACTTGGAAAAATTAGGTGTGACACTAATAGACGACAAGATTAGACAGAGTAGACTTAAGTGGGCTGGCCATGTATGGCACAGATTCAGTATAACACGTTTATGATGTGTGAGTTAGTTCAAATGAAAGGCTGAAAAAAGACAAAGGGTAAGTCCAAAATAGATATGATTAGAAGTAATGAGAAAAAATATGGAGACATATCCCGTCACTGAGGTTATGACTTTTAATAAGGTAGAATGACATACCAGGATCCATGTAGCTAATCCCATTTAATTAGAAAAAAAATTTAACGATGATGATTTTTTAAAACCTAAATTTACTAATTTGGCTGATTCGGTCCATTGATCCACATCGAGCTTGTGAGTAGGCAATCCGAAACCCAATTTAGGGTTTTAAAATACTGGTGAGTTAGGATGAAATTATGAATATCAGTTAATTATCTACCCACAAAGCCACAAATTCATGGCTTTCGGTAGAGCCTGGACCACTGGTTGAGTATAATCCGTAGGGATTACAACTTAGAACAATCACGTTTTTGTGCCTGGTGGGGTACCCTGATGTTCTCATCCAAAATCTAACGGCTGTGCTTTTGAGTTGAGCATGGATACAAAGGCATCACTCGTTTACATTTGAGGTTATCCTTTAGTAACAGCGTTGTCCTTTCCATTTGACGTTGTGATTGTAGAATTCCCAAATATCAGATTTAGGTTTAGGGTGCAAATCTTTACCAAATGCAATTTTAAGGAAATATTTTAGAAAAGCTCAATTTTACTTTTGAAATTTAAAAATAAGCATATATATATATATATATATATATATATATATATAGTGGGTTGTGATACAATTTATCTTTTGTATACAATTTCAAAATGTGTGATTGGTAATAGTTCCATTGGATTAGCCACAAAGTTCAAAAAAAGATTTCTCACCTCAAGCTATCTTAAAAAGATTAATTAATATCCATCTTTTACAAGGTTTTCCTAGAGATAGAAAACTTTTTTTCTTTTTTAAAAAAAGGATAGTAGATAACTTCCATCTCCCAGATATTGGACTTTTCAAAGATTTTAGGAAGGAAAGTTGAAAACAACATCCTCCTATCATTTTATAAATTAACTTTTCATGGCCATGTAAAAATATAGAAAACAAAAAGTCATTTTCAACCAAGCTACTGTTCTTTGCTATTTATAGTGAATGAAAAGCTCTAGCCCTATGCGATATAACGATGTCCTCCTCACTTTTTTTTCCAACATTGGTATCAAGAGTGAGGTTGCTGTCAACGATCCCATGTGCCCTAAGCCGAGCCCATTAATTTTCGTCTACAGCAGTCCCGTGCGCCCTTAGCAATGCCTGACTCTCTCTCCCTCTCAACATCTGTTAAGATTTCCGTAGGTTTTCTTATCAGACAATAGGTAAGAGTAAACAAGCATATATTCACTGCATCGCAGTGAATTTCAATCAAAAGAGGTGCCTAAGCCATCATCTCTCTCCCTCTGACCATCCGTTAAGATTTTCGTGGTTCAGTGGTTTTTCTTTATGGGAAAAGTACATGAAGAGAGCATGTCCTTTTTGTACGGTGGTCGCAATTAATCTTGACTTTTGGATGTGAAATTAGGCAGCTATTTTTATTTTACTTATCAAGCTCAAAGTTTAAATGAAATTTTTTCGATTTTTGTAACACATCCAAGCTATCGGATTTCACATTTGATGGTGGTAAATAATTGTGACTTCCTTGTAGTAAAAATAAATGGTCATACAATCTCTTTCTTAATAGGCAAGAGATAAGAGGAGTAAATAAACACAAACATAAATTAACTTTCTTAATAGGCAAGAGATAAGAGGAGTAAATAAACACAAACATAAATTAACTGCATTGCGTTGAATTTCAATGAAAAGAGGTTTTCTCTTCTCCATCAACGAAAGAGGTTTTCACTGCACATATTATCTTTGTATGTACATAAATTCACTGCATTGCATTGCTTTCTCTTTGTATGTACATATATTATCTCAATACATACAAGGTGCGGTTTGTATAGAGCCCAGGCTCTAAAGTCTAAACAATCAAATTAGAGCTTACCCTCAAATAGTATTGAGAAATGTCGTTTCACAACTAAAAATATTTGTGATAGCTTTAAAATATATTTTTATCTTTGTTTATAAAGGCTAAAGCTTAAAAAATAGTGTAGATTGATAGATCTATTAAAACTTGGAAATCTTGAAAATTAACGGTCCAAAAATACGTTACAAAACACACTATTTCTAAAACTTGAAATCCATTTTTTTTCTGATGTCAATGCATCTTGATATCAAGATGATCAATTTGAAGATATTCGAGCTTCAAAACAACCTCTTCTAGTAAAATTTTTGAGGTACGCTCAATTTTGATTGTTTAGAGCCTCAACTCTATGTAAACTTTTCCCATACATCAAAGTTTATTTTTCTCTTTACCTAATATTAATTGTTTCCTTACAAATACATCTACGACAATCTCAATCATGCATAACTGCTACTGTAATTTGAGAGAGAGAGAGATTGCAGCCCATAAATTGTTCGAGACAATTCTTTATTGAGATTGCAGCCCATAAAGAGTTGGGCAACCTATTGATTTGATAAGAAAACAATTCATTCTACCACACAAATTGTAATTAAAATTTTTAGCTCAATTTGCCTACATCTTCATATTTTTTAATTTTAGACAAATTTAAAACTTCTAATGGCATCTAGGCTAGTCATGACAGAACTACCAAAAATCGAAAAACTCAATGAAATTAATTTTCTTATGTGGAAAAGAAAATTTGGATCATAAGAAAAAAAAAATTGATACATTCTCTTCCAAGATAGGGTGGATTATGTTCTGGATACATAATTGATGATTTTAGAGCTTAATGACAATGGTTAAGCCAGGAGGCAACTTGACAAATAGTTAGAAGATGATAAAGTAGTTAGGAACACTATGTTAAGTTTTATGGAGGATGACTTAATTATAGTCTTTGAGGACCACCACAACCCGAAGTATGATGGATGCCTTAAAAAGTATGGGACCGCTTTTGAGACCCATGTGTAATTATAGTTAGAAATTAATAACTCTTGCAAAATGAAGGAAACAGACTCAATGATTGAGCATGTCAACAAAATGACAATGCTTGCAAAAGACATTGTTACGACTGAGAATCCAGTTACTAACCACATGTAAGTGTCCATTGTCATTAACAGTCCCCCTCTATCTTTGGAGCCTATTGTAATTGTATTGAACTAATATGTTAAAATCTTCCCATGCACCTCAATATTGAAGCTGAGAGAAAAATGAGGAAGAAGTCAAATGAGCTACACTTTGCTCAAAGCTCATCTTCTCAATTTCTCAAGAAACCTTACAATCATCAGAACAATAACAATTAAAAGTGTAAGGGAAATGATAAATTTTTAAAAAAATTAAAAGAATAAGGCTGATAGGACATGTTTTTATTTAAGGAAACTAGACACATTAAGTTTAATTATCTTGCTGAAAAATAAAAATAAGAACTAGAATGACAACAATGATCGAAATAATAAAAAAACAAAAAATGATGATTCATATTTATGACATTTAAATTTATGACATATAAATAAAGATTGAATGAACGAAATGGTTAAAAGAAGATTGCTTCCCAACTCAAGAGAAACTGTGTTGAAAACATGTTAGCCATGTATTTCTGGTAAATTAACTAAAATGTCTTTTGTCAAAGGAAAAAAGTCTAATGAACTATTTAAGAATGCCCTTGAAGATCAAACAAGGCAGATCGGAACCAAGAACAACCAACCTGGAGGCGGTTAGGAAGCAGACAATTTTGGCACCATTGGCAAGCATGCCGGCACCACTCCAAATTCCACTAGATCAAATGTTCAAAACCGACCAAGATAGCTCACGTCTCAACATGCGATCCCAACGGACAGAAGAGAAAGGAAGAAATTGCCAATGGTGCCAATGCCATTGACAGCTGCTCCAGGCTCTGATAGGTCAAATGGAAAGACAACCTAGATGTACGTACATATGGCATGTGTAGGTATTGACATGTTGTGTGTAAGTATGGATACGACATTGATAGCCTCATCAGCCGCACCGCCTTCAGATTCATCTAATAAAACATCACAGCACCTGAAACTATACACGCATCGACTAACAACAACATGGTTGTCGGTGGCACCAACGACATTCCAATTGTCGCTGAAACCTGATTGGTCAGTAGAAAGTTCGGAAGAACGCTTAGAGACCGATGCATGGCAGTTTATGTCAGAACAAGATTCCAACGCTATTGCCAATGTCGTTGGGCCTCTAACACTCCGCCAACAAAAGCATACTCAATCAAAGATCACAGAAATCTGAGCATAATG